ATAAAAAACATTTTAATTTTGTTTCATAAATGTATTTTTATTTCAAGTTTATGTTTATTGCAGCCATACTTTTGTTTATTTTGCCAAATAAATCATGAGGTTAGCAGCATGAACTTTGTATATTTGCCGTAAACTATCATGCCTGTTGGTGACCACTCTTGTTCAGTCCAGCACAGGCACATTTCAACATTACTGTAGATATGATAGTAAGAAGGCTTTTCAGTACTTTAATATCATTTCTTTGAACTTTCATACAAGTTTATTTCAACATATGTGCCGTGTATGTTGTTTCACTATACAGACAAAACTAACTGCCACAACTAGCCAATGTATGTAACAGTTTACAGTACAGTGGTTTGGATAACACTGCCTGACCCTAGTTACATGATACATTCTGTTACAAGAGATTACCAAATGATACAGACACAATAGATTACAAAGAAAATTACTTTACAGCACTTAAAAGATTAGTCCTGGTCACATTCTTCTCATTATAGGCAAGATTTACGTTGGAATTCGAAACTTAATATCTTCAGTGTACTGACACCCCAACTGTGAGAATGTCATAGCTTCCCCTGTATTATTGAGACGAATGTGTTTAGTCTGTTTCACAACCAACATATGGCTCTTATTGTTGTCACTTGTACACTGAGCTTTAAGCCATTTGCAAAATATCAGAATAAACTTTATATATATCAGTTAGACTGTTTTAATTCTAAAGCAACAACAAGAGAAGTGTGGGTCTTACTACAAAGTACAGACAGTAAGAAGGAAAAATATAAAATTATTATGTGGTACTGGTACTAGTAGTAGTACATACAAATCACACAAGTTTATCATTCTAAATACTGAATCATATTTTTATTATGAACTAAATATAAAATTACACTAAATTATTGAACTTAAAACTACTAATTCAAATGCAAAAGAATATAAAAAATCACAAACTTTCAGTTCAATGTGCTAAGCCTAATTCATGTAAAGACCATGCACTCACCACTCGATAGATCAACTTCTTTCCCAAAAATATATCTATTTTGAGTTAATTTTTCATTATAATGATATATATAAATAGATATAAGGTACTACTTAAGTCACATAAATCCCATGCAGTTTTTTCCAGAAACCAATTTTCCAAGGCTTATAAAAAGTACTATTGACCACTACTAAGTACAACCTCTACATAAAATGGCAGTTACTATAATAAGCACCACCCACATTCATATTGTAAAATACAGAGAACAATGTTTTGTTATATTCTTTGCTTATCATCCTATTATTTGTCAAACATGAAATATAGCAACTGGAATAACATGGTACTGAAATTTACACCTTCAATAAGGATTGGCTAAAAGTTTTACAACTGAGGTTTAACAAGCCAAGACGCTGTTTTATAAATGAAACAGACCAGAAAAAGGTTTAGATATCAATCATAGATGGTAGGACCAATGCTAAAGTGCAAGGAAAACATTTTTAAAATGTTGAAAAAATTTTCTTCTTAAAGGGCACTTATTTATGGTATCAAATGTATTTGGGATTTTTTTATTAAATTTCATTAAACATTACAATTTTGTACAAATAATTGAATGTTATGCTACTATTTACAAAAATAAAATCTGAAATCCAATAAAAGACAAGTTCTCTATAATTTTTTCAATTCACAAATGTGATTTTGCCATCAATGATAAGACAATATGGCTCCAGTAGGTAAGGGGTTAATGATTTTATCAATTTTTTCTAATTACATCAAACAATTAGTACAGTAAAAAAACAGAATTGGAAACAAAAACTTAGATTCTTTATTTACTGTCTCTTTATGAAAAGAGAATGATGCATAGGAAGAGAGAATTAAAAAATAGTTACAAGTCAGATACACTACTCAAGTATGGGGCATCACAAATACATACTATACTGAAGAGCACAAAGAAAGTGAATTAAGACTTGGGAATCTGCAACTGAAAAGTTGTGGTGAATGTCTTTTCTACAAACACCAGTAGCAGTTTAATACTGTATTCTATCTGTAATGCTAGTGGAAAAAAAGTCAAGTAAGAAATAAATTTTGTTTTTGAATTTCCTATGTTTACACTAAAATTTGACAACTGTTCTAGTTGTGGTTTTTCATTCTATTAAAGTAACTTATGTTTTCTGTCACAATTACTGTGATACCTCTTGACATTAAAGATTTATGTTTTTTTCATCAAAACTCAGAATACTTGTATTGTTTATCAAAACAAGATTAACACAATCATATAGTTTTATGTTCCAGTTATTAGGTTTTCATCAGAACAAACATTCATCTTTAACAATCTTGTTTAGACAACTTCATGTAATTTTTCTGCACCGTAATTTGTTATAGCAACAATTTTCATCAAGCATATAAATTCAAAGTATAAAACCAAAATGTTTTTCATAATTATCTCCAACATGTTCCATTCTACTTGTTAGTTCCAAGTTTTGGCAAACCAATGAAAAGACCACTAAAGCAAGTCCTAGATCATTTCAGGTAAATATATAAGATTCTTCAATTTCTTTCTCTGAGGTCTGATAAATTGGACAATTCACTTCTAACATGGGACTCATATTTCTGGCTGGCCCTAAAGTCTGTTTTTCTTTCTTATACATATCTAATATATACTACAAACCAGTACATTTTTCAGCATTCCTTTGCCTATGCTCACTACCCGATGGTTAAAAATCCTTATGGCATAATTATTAGCCTTAGTTTCAAGAAATTAATTTTCTAACTCAAACAACTAACTGATCCTTTTCTGCTCTAAAACTATTGTTATAAACTCAACTTTTAATCTAGATCTCAACTTAATCTCAATCTTTATTAAAAAACAAGACTGTGTTTGTAACGTTTAGCTTAGACCCATGAAAAACTATTATATAAAAAATATAATTATAAATATAAATAAAAAATCATATTAAACTTTCAATCTACAGCTAGATCTATCATGAGTTATTGATATTATATACTGTAGCTTTTAACTTCAGTCTGCAATGATGTAATCACAATTATAAGTTGCAACTTTTCACCTAAATTTATCCTGATACAACCACAACAGAATTGTACAATCAACTAATAATCATTTCACAGCTAAATAAGACCTCTTGATTATATTCAGTTCTTTGAATAGTAGTTGTTTTATAAATTTTTGTTATTATCTAAAGTTTAAGAAAACTATAAAATTTTACTACTTTATGTACCTTTGTAACAACCTTCATAAACATTACCCAGAAGACTCCTATATTTTTTATAAAATGTCTATACCTTCTACAAACTGAGTAGTTACTATTGACAGAAGTTACTCTGAATAGTTCACTCTTGTTTCTAATGGTAGAGCTACTGACAGTCCCCAAGCCTAGTCTTTGATAATCTCTACAGTAAGTACGTTCAGTGATCTTCTCCAGAGTCTTGGAGTCAACATATGATGTCTGCAGACTGGATTCTGCTTCATCAAGTACTGAAACATAAAAGGAAGTTACCAGACTACATATTTCTCTAGAATCACAGTCCACAACAGTATTATCATTTTAGTGAAAAAATGCAATAATGTATTTGTAATCATTAAAATTTATGTGCAAGTACAGATGATTCTGACATTAAAGTTACATTTAATGATCATCCAAATGTACTTTATAGATGTATCCATATTACCATCACTCATTCAATATCACGTACAACAGTAACAATCATTCCACAAATGCATCAGTTCACTACCACAACAATTTTTAAAGACTTCAAGTTGACTTACTTAAGTTTTACCACTGACATTTTCAAGTCTACATACAATGATCACTATAAAAATATATCTTTCAAAGTTGAAAAACCACTGGCAAATTCATTCATCAAAAATATCACTTAAAGCTTTAATAAATTTTTTAGTTAAAACACCAATCAAATGATGCTTCAAAAAATAAATTACAATTTCATGAAGACTTGCACTATCAGTTTGAAACATCCAAAATTTGTCCTAGACATATGCTGTCCATTAAATATGATTTTCAAGTACACTTGCACCATACCACACATTCACAAGTATGTTATGATTTAGCTTTTTTTACTTACTTGATTGTTGCATTCCTTTCTTTGTGTAGTGGAATTTGAGGCATAGTCAGGATTGATGGGATTAAAAAATAATACTATAAATGGGCCTAACAATATTAGCTGCAGGATATGAATTATTCATCCAATTGCCTACCCAAGTTCCACTACCAAATTTCATTGATGTTGTTTCAGCTTGTGACTCACAACAACTTGTGACACCAAACACACACAGAAAGATGGACAACTCAGTTGTATAAATATATATATATAGCATCAAAAACACCTTAGGTGTGAAAAAAAAGGAGCAGCCAAACTGGTAGCTACACTTATAGCATTGATAAGAACTTTACAGCAAATATTCATTCATTTTTTAGCCATGATAATTTTTTTTTGTTCAACTTGGGGCATGATGGTGGGGAAAACAAAGTATGCCACTGACTTACTCTTTCAATCTCAAACTGAAAGTACCTGAGAAGTAATGCTCAAAATTAATGAGCATAAGAACACAAATTTATTGGTCTAACATGGATAAACATAGATGTCTTATTTTAAAAAATTATCCAAAAATTGAGGAATAAAAAGAAAAGTACTTGACAATTCCTCATCAAACGTAGAGATTGGCTTATCTCCAGTTTCACCATCAAAGTTAGTACTTGTTCCTCTACCAGGACTTAGGAGTGTGTGAACGCTTGGTTGACCTTGGATCACATATTTGTGCTTCCTGGAAGAAGGTTTTGACTTGAAACCAGCTTTCATCGCTGTTCTCAGCAATGTCTTCTTGGCCAAAACTCTTAAGGTAAAATCAGTAAAATTCATGTTATATGCTATGTTAAAGAAAGATGTATTCTACTTAATATTAAAAAAATATTCAAAGTTACTTCATTATGCTGAATTATCCTATAATGATGTTATTTATATTTACGTGTACTAATGTCAAAGAAAAACATAGCAGCAACAGAAGTTTTATGATATAATAATAATAATATTATGATTTAGCTTTTTTACTTACTTGAGTGTTGCATTCTTTTCTTTGTGTTTGTGTAGTGGAATTTGAGGCATAGTTAAATTGCTACTGAATGCAAAAAGACGATATATAGTTGGTGGTGCATGCACACGATGTATTAGCTTCCGCAACATTTCTATGTTATCTGATGTGACTTCCTCATCAAATGCTACTTTAATTAACTAGAAAAATAAGGAAAGAAAGAGAGAACCAAATTGGAGTCATTTCAGAATAATACTCATACTATAAAGAAATAAAAACAGAACTTTATTTGTTTAAAATTAGTTGAATAATTATTTTCATTATCTTTTGGTCAAGATTCTGCTATTTTTGGTTAACTCTTTCGATACAGGGTCAGGAGATATGACCGACCTAGTGACTACAAAGTAACCATCAGTTTCCATTCTGTAACTTTTCATACAGTGTATCTTTACAAAATTGGACAAGCTTTCTGTAAACATTACATTTCTTTTATAAATGAAAAACCAGATTTATTAACTAAGTACTTTTACTAAAGACTTGTCTATGAACATATGGAATCAGAGTGTTGACTGGTTGAAAATTTTCAAATTTCATTTGTGTAACCTTTAAAACCTCCTAAATAAATATCAAACTTTTTTACATTTTATCTGCTAATTTCTCTATCCTAACTCTATATGGACTCAGTCAATGTGACCAATCTTGCAACCACCATAAAAAAATAAGAAATAAATCTAAATTACCCTTTTTTTATTTCTAAAAGGACTGCAGATTGCAACAGAAAACTACAATTGTTTGTCTTAAATAGCTTAAAGCTCATAAAAGTCTACATCTGTTTATACTTAATTTTATTGTCTTATTGACTTTTGAACTATGTGTAACTAATAATCCCACCACACAAGTTGTAAATTACTCAGTAAACATGTAGCTCATATTAATGTATTGAATGATATAATACATGAGCTGCTCACGAGCACACCTTGTGAAGAATTGTTATTTTTTGCATTATCTTATCTAATCTAATCTAACCTAATAAGTTTCTAATTTTTACATTTTAGTTATATGTATAACCATAAATAAAGAATATATATGAAAAACAAAAAATATAGTACATACTTTTGACCTCTTGTTTTTTTGCTGTCAGTTGCTGATGAAATTTAAGCCTTCTGATGTCACTTGGAGTTTAGGTATTGGATTATGTGAGCCGAGTTTTCTCTTACTATATTTTATTTTTGATTAACAATTATAAATCAGTAATTGTTCACTAAAAACCGACCAAATCAGAATCATTTCTTTATGGGAGATTTATTTACATAATTTAATAATCATTATATTGTATTCTCTCAAATTCTATTGTCCTCATAATAAAAATTTAAACCTACTGGTTTAAAGTATTGCCATCCTCTTAATTCTTGTGATAATTATTAATAAGAATGCCAAAATAATGTAAATCATGTTTCATTTTATTTTTTAATTAAAAACAGTCTCAAATATTATTTAATGATAATCTATCCTCATTTTCTTACCTTATAAACTATTAATTAGTTTCAGTTTTGCTAAAAGTCACTAATAGCACACTCCCATAATGCTTAAAGTAAAGAAAAATTAGTATTTACTATTTTCAAACTCAATAGCAACTTTCAATGCAAAAGTAGCTAAATAACTAAGTTATCAATCCAAAGTTTCATGCATAGCTGCTGACCAAATGGAGAAAAACCTGTTAATAGCATGTGCCAATTTTAAAGCTACTCTTAAATAGCAAGATTGACTCTCACTTCTATCTCAAGACTACAGCTCATATGTCTCAAATCTCCCCACCCACAGTTCAGCACACTAACTACTAGGCTATGCACAATCTTAAATTCAATAACTGATAATAAAAACTGTTTAAATAAATTGTTATTGGTTAAGTATCAGAAAATTATTAATTGTACTAGACCAAATATGAATGATATAAAAATATAAATGTGGTAACAAGATATAAAAATACATATTTAAAAAACCTCGATAATAAATAATTGGTTTATAATCTCTACCACCAACTTGAAACAGTCTTTGATGCTGGACTATGATGTTTTTTCCCATTTTATTTAAAGACATTCATTGACATTAAAAGATTTAGAGTGGATTATTTTTTGTTGCAACTTTTTTGGTACAAAATAATTCATGATGGGGAAATAGAAGAAAGTTCATCAACATCTAGGTACCTGGAATGTGCTCGAACGAATCTGTAGTCCTTCTTGGAGAAACTGGTCTACATGAGCAAGACACTGCACATGCAATCTTTTTTCTTTGGTCAAAGTTGCCACTGGAAAGCATCTTACTACCACTTGCTCAGATGCTGGAAGAAAAATGGGTACATCATTTACAGCCACGTACATACTCAAATCTAAATGTTGGAATACATTCAACAGAAGTAAGAAGTCTGAGAAATACTGCTGGATAATAAGGTGATTGTTCTAAATTGGAAAATAATTAGCCATAACAAAAGTTATATATATTAATTTGGACAATAAAAGGTAGAATTACAACTGACATACCTTCCTGCAACTGCTTTTAAATGTAAAACAACTACTACAGATGTGTTATATACACGCACACCTTTAAATGTTCAAACCAAATTAAAAATTAATGTCATACATGCTACATGCTTGTTCAGCCTCGTAGGTACACCTTCCTGAAGCTTCATAACTTCATAAAAAAAAATTAGTGTTCAATTATAAAATTAAACTAGTTATTCTATGAATCAAATATAATTTTCACTAATCAGTCCATACATTCAGCAGTGCTAGTTAATAGTGAGTGAGTATTATATGTTTCACACTTTTAAGTACACTTACAAACAAATCAAACATCTTAAATTTCTCCGTATATTCAAGTGCAGGCAAGGGTGAAGTAAAGTCCCCATATTTGGGGAGGATGCATGACTGAATTTTCTTGAAAAAATAACAAGAAAGATAATTAGCATTTCTGGGTGTTCTTAAATAGGAAAGGTGTAGATAAAGTGGTAAAACTACCAGACCCATCAGCAGACTAATGTGCATCACATAATCTAATTAGGAATTTTATGACTTTTTGCTGAACATTTCCAGAATCTTTCTCAGCATTTTCATCATTTGCCTAATAATTCGTCACCAAGAAATTATTTATTTTTCTTCCGAGATTTCCCCAAAAACGACTGATAAAAATTTTGCTGATGGAAGTTACAGACAGTTAAACTTGTGCTGAATCCCTGAATAACTTTCACAGTGAAAAGGTGTATAAGCAATAACTTATTCCGAATTAAAGATGAGAAATTTCTCATCTAAGTCTGTCCAACACTCACATTTTATCAGAATTTTTCCCATACTATTAACGGATGGTGCTTCTAACATTTTCATTTACTTGTTGAAATCCTCTGATTTTTGTCCTTCTCACAGTGGAAATACTTAATCTTTTGTCAAACTTATTCAAACTTATAAAACAGTATCCAGTTCTGGCTTTAATAAAATGCATATAATTTGATTCAGTATTGCTATAATTCTTAAGTCGTAGAGATTCCAAGTTTTGAAAAACTATTTAAAATACCTTTATTCCTACTAAAAACAATTTTTTTTGTTCTTGATCAAAAAAAGTTCCATTATATTATCTAGACTTGATTATCAGCTTGATTGATATTAATATATTTCTTTGGATACTTTATTTTGTCAAATGCAGTAGTCACCACTTCCAGCTATAAATCATAAAAACAAAAACTAACAAAGATTTATCAATGATTTAGGAACTTGACCTTTCACAATGGCATCTCCATTATCTTTGTCAGGCTAGATAATTGTTTTTGCTAACAATATTTTAGTCAAAACCAATCTATATCTAATAATTGTAGTTTCTTTTCAATAAATAGTAAGTTATTTTATCTTATGCATTATCTCAATACCATAAACATAACAATAATGTTCAATAAGTAATGATATGAGTTACCAGAATATATTGTTGTCGTCTACCATACTTGCTAAACGTAAATAAGGTTAACTGATTGATGTCTTGTTACGTTAGAAAATTCCTGTTGTTTTCAAATGGATATAATATATCAAAAATTTTCAGAAACAAAAATAATATCTAAAGAAAATATCTTAGTCTTTATCTCAAGAAATTACAAATTACTGCTCAAACCACTTTATTTACTTTGCATTGGCATAAATAGTTTATAAACTGCTCTATCAAATAATATCCAAATGTTGGCTTTAGCTAGTTTCAAAGTTGAACAACAGTAATTATTAAAAACACAGGCTATGAAATCATTAAGAAACAAAACATTTATCCATATATTTTCCTCTGGATGATGGTTTTAACCAAATATAAATCTGTACTTCAAGATGAACAGAAAGACTCTAAAAGATTTATAAATGCATTATTTATATGGAAACTACTTAGAAGTTTGTTTTTCATTTTCTTTCCAAATTACACTAAATAAATTTTACCAAATGACAAACTATCACTTGTAAAATATTTTTGTTACTTAGAAGTTTGTTACTTAGAAGCTTACTATAAATTTGAAATAAAATTTCAAAATTTGATATGCAGGTGTGCTCTTGAAACTTTAATAATTTAAGAGTCCTGTTTGATAAAATTAGAAAAGATTATACCCACAATGATTTATTGGTATTGCCATCCCCAAATCAGTCTTAATATACAATATGTAAAAAGTAATACAGCTTTCTGGTTTGTAAATTCAGGATGCAAATTAGGTAAGTTTGAAAGGCCTAGGCCTGAACTTTTTTTGACATATGTACTGATGGTTACAAAACAATACATATGACCTTTCCCTTCCCACAATTTAGTCAAACAATCACTTAAAAAAAAAAATCTATAAACATACATACTTGAGGTTAAGAAATTTTTTTTTATATATGATTTCTCAAAGCCATGACAAGCAAGAAAATGTTAATTAAGATCAAACTCACCAAAAGGATCACATGGTGTCCCCTTGAAAACAATACGATAATTTGTAAGAAAAATTGCTCCTTCAGCAGGGAGTAAAGATGGTCCACCAAGAATACCTCCAGTGCCATCCTCTCGTCCATCAGGAATGAGGTAAACACGAAGTCCTTCCATAACAAGCTCCTCTCCTTGTAGAAGACTTGGTGCAAGAATTTTAGGCTGTAGAAAAAGATATTAGCAAAAGACCATTTCATTACATTAATTTTTATTCAATAACATTAAATTTTTTAGTTAACCATAAACAGCACACCTACTATGTATAAGTCATTTCCAATCTTTTTGTATGAAAAAAGAAATATTTCATTTTATAACTGTATATGTCTTGATTTTTGATATTTTACAATGCTTAAAATACCAAGACTGCTTATAGAACACAAATATACACAATTACATAAAGATTTCAATAGTATTATCTAATTTTTACTTTTTTCAAGTTTTTAAAATATTGCTATAGTCTATCAAAAACAAAACACATCAAAGCCCATTGGGTTTATATAACAACTTTCTTATCTTGTAGTCTTTATATGTTTTCTTAGAACCATCCATGTAAGTATTACGGGCTTCAGCAAACAAATAAACCAATTTTCATATAATAACTGAAATTTAAATTATCAACTTCATAACCAAAATTATCAATATAATACTTATAAACTGCTTTAAAATATTAAAACTTAAATAAGTAATTCCTATATAAAGATTTCTCCAAACATTTGCCAAATGTTTTATTACTAAAATACCAACAATGTTGTACAGAGATTTTCCCTGTTTATAACAAACCTTCATGATGGGAGGCAGTCGTTTACTTTCTCTGTGAACTGCTTCAAGTGTTTCTATCTGCATGGCCACTACTCCTGTAAATAGAAGTAATTTTATGTGTAAAAGAAAGATTTTTTCAAATACAATAAAATTGTATAAAATTAACAATGGATATTTTTTATAAAAAAACCTACATTGACATAACAAGTCAGACAAGACATAACATTTAATATTTCATCTTTAGACTTTTAAACTATTATTTTCACAAATATTAAATAACTAGTCTAAATTGTTCAAAGTGACATAATACTGGTATTTTTATTTTCCTATTATCATACCATTTGGTTAAAAAAACAAAATAAATAAACTTTAACACACTTTCCATTTGGTCTGTTACCATAAATTGCTTTATCACAAAGAATATGAAATAATGACACCAGTTTCATAAATCTCTAGTCTACAAGTACTCATCTTCTAACTGATTTAACTACTAAAACAAACAGCAAAAATTATGCCTAACTTCCTTTTGTTTATGCTTCAAACTGATGTTATATCTTTGAAAAAATTCCAAAGAACTATGCACCTCATTTAGTGCTTTATTACTTATTTAGCATACAGAGTTGACACATTTCTAAACTGTTTTTAAAAACAAAAGTTGGACAATTTTCACTGCAATTATAATCACAACAAAATATTAAAAAATTATGGAAATTATAAACAAATTATCTTAACCTCTATAATGGGAACTTTCATTTTTTCATCTTAAGGGAGTAACAAAATAATACTAATAATGAACTAGAGAAAGCTAATTATCTTTGGTTCACAAGTAATACAGTTCCTTGTTAGCAGCCTAAATTAAGGCTAAAAGCAGCAATAAAAATGCAATACTTAAACTTATGAAAACCACATTAAAAATATATTATTAAAAATGCCTTAAAAAACTTTAAAAGTGTTTAAAAAAAAAAAGCTCTGCCAGCTGGTCATGACACTGGAAAGTATAAACTCATCTTCATAAAAGTCTAGAACTGGAAATATTAAATGTGGAATACAAATATATAGTCAGTAACTTAAGGAATAAAATGTATTTTTAATTTCTATTTGGTTACTAAAGCCATGTCAGTATTTCAAATAATTAATAAATAATTATTAGAATATTTATTTTTTTCTGACACTGAAATTAATTTCATGGTAGTAGATATACCTGGAATCATTTGATGCAGTGACTTGATATGCTCTTCGGTAACACCACTTTCTGTGCAAACTTTGTCCACAAATCTTGAGACAAACCTTATAATATTTGTTCCCAACTCGGATGTATCTTCTTCAAATCCACTTTCTGCATCCAAACTATCTGTTTCTGGTAGACTACAAAAAAAAAAAGAGTTGTATTTAACCATCATATCAGGTCAGGAAGACAAAGCTATTCTCATATATGGTAGATTAAGAATTAAGTATATATTAGAACAAAAGACCACTGTTTATAAATCTGACATTTAAAAATGAGAAAAATTGTTAAGAGGAAAAAAATGCATATATTATATATGCTGACTAGTCACTTTAGCAAATCCAACATACACATACACAAATTGTAAAACTGTTTATTTATATATGTAAAATAGGCTATTAATATGATTTTTCAGGTGACTACTTAAGCCCTTAAAATTATGATACAATCATACCACAGTTAAAATGTACAAGAATTGACAAGGTTTAAAATATCAGAGACTTTCAAAGGGGCACAATAATTAATACATTTCTAATAAATATGTCACTATCAAAGACCATTTCTTTGATATGCTGTTCAACAAAATCTGATATTTCATCTCTCTTTAGTCCCCTTCAACAGAAAATGGCAGCCACCAATTGGTTTGTTTGTTTGTAATTATGCACAAAGCTACACAATGGGTTACCTGTGATCTGCCCACCACGGGTATCGAAACCCGATTTCTAGCGTTGTAAGTCCGCAGACATAACGCTGTGCCACTGGGGGCAGAACTATTGCAAGACACAATGAAAATGTAGTTTTATAGGGCTTGTAAATGCTAACCTGACTTGTATCGCATTGCAGCAACCACATTTCTGTGAAGCTACAAGCAATGTTTACCAGAATTTCAAATTTACTAAGTATTTCTTCATCAAACTTGGTAAGCTTTTAGAAAACATTACAAATATGTTGTAAACATATTATCAGAAATTTTAATAAAGTATTTTTACTAAAGTATTCTACATTGAATTTGCAGAGTTAGCCTAACTCAGACTCTGACTAGTCCAAGTGCAAGATAATTTCCATATTAAGAATAAAAATACTTTTTTTAATCTGAAATGTTTTATATTTCATTTGTATAACCTCTAAAATCTCCTAAATGAATATCAAAAGTTTTTTCTTGGTAAAACTTTATACTTCATCCCTTATTATCATATTAATTATACCCTAACACTAACTGTAGCAAAAGTTAAAATGTGTAGAACTAATAAGCTAGCATAACAAAGTAACAAATCACCAAGTGAGAGCATAGTGTAAGCTACAGTATACAAAGTATTAAATTGTAAGAACATGGACAGCTCACATTCATACCTCACAGAGAAATTTTTTATTGAATATTTTTCATTTAAGTTTTCTTATCTAACTTAGTAAGTTTTACATTTTATTTACTTTTTTATAAATATTTATATATCAATAAATAAAATATAAGCATAAAAACAAGAAATTTACTACTTTCCATTGCTTATAGGCCTTCTTGGACTCGAGAACATACTATTAGTGTATTGCACTAAGACCAATGTTTCCTATTAATTCATATAGCTTTCAAATATGCATTTAAAAACAAACAATAACTAAAACAACAAAACAGAATGTCACAAAACTACTATGATTTATCTGGCTTTCTAACTAACATAAAAGTAGGCTTAGAAAAAGAAGTTCATTACTTACCAGTTCACTGATTTCAGTTTATATTCAACAAAATATACTTTACAAATTACAACTTTTACCAACATAAATTAACATAAAAACATAATAATCATGTAGTGCATGAAATAGCCTTTCTATTGGTTATAAATCTGTACCACTGGCAAGTAAGTGCGAGTAAATAAGTAATTTCAAAGACATGAAGAATTGGGAGGAGCTTTTATGGGTACAACAAATTTATTAATATCTCAGAAAATGAAGAAAGTGGGAGTTCCTTATTTCAAATTCTGGCCTGTCAATATCTATAGTTGGTGTTTGTAATTGGTGGTAGTTCTGAAACCTATATAAGGGAAGAAAGAACAACTAAAAAAAGAAGAATTCAGAGTACAGGTGCATCATATGATACAGAAAAGTGAAGATTAATAAATTATTTAATTATTTCCTCTTTTAAATTAAGAAATTAAGATTTATATAATAATAGCATTTGAATTATAAACTATATTTTAAGATTATTAACCTACATTGATAACAAAGTTGTTTAATTAAAATTTTGAATGTAACTATAAAGGGCCTGACATGTGCACTTTGACCCCCACCCATCCACACAGAGGTAAAAGTAAGCAAGATATAAATACTAAAAATTGTACTAAGCAAAAGTAATTACAAAAAAATTTACATAACTGTTGAGAATCAATCGAAAACCATTTACTTCAGATGCAAACAAAACAGTACATCTTCAGTGGTTCTTAAGAGTGCAAGCATGTCTTAATCCTTGCAGGACTAGAGGGGAGTCTCTGATATCCCTTGATTTTGTGTCCTTCTCACTGTGAAAATACTTAACCAAATTGCATGCAACTTAAAACAGCATAACTAAATTTAATTTTAGCTTTGAAAAATTAATATAATATGATTTAGTTTTTCTATAATTTCTTATTTTGTCGAATTTAAAAATTTTCTTGTGAGTAACTGTTTTAAAAAATATTTAAGACCCGGAGCCACAAAAAACTCAGCCCTGATATGGCTGCACCTTTTATTTTTGTTACTGATTTGACAACTGACTACTTTTATGCTTTACATTGTAGTTAATGTGCATCGTAGGTACAGTGCATGAGGGTAATGGATCACAAAGACGACAAACATGACACACATGGTATGTTCCTTTCTTTCAATTTTTGTATTCAACACATACTCTGCCAGTTCCTACTGTTTCCATGCTTCCTGGTATCCAATTGAAAACCTGAAAGTTACGTTGAATTGATCTCAAATAATGTAGCTAAATTGTTTACTGATAATTACTATTGTGCTTTATGCACTTTTTCTATTATGTTTCATAATGTTTTTTGGCCAAAGATTTAGTAAAATATCCCACTTTTTCACAGCCGTGAGTCATAAAATACTTCCTTTCATTTTAAAATATAAATTTTCTTGTATGTTGATCTAAATGTTCCATTTTCATATTTTAAGTTGACAATTGCAGTAGTCACCACTTCCAGCTATAAAGTGTAAAAAAGACCACAGAAACAGACAAAGATTTATTGGTGACATTAGGACCTGACTTTCATAATAGCATCAGGTCATACTAGGTAACAATATTTTTGCTAACAGTGATCTTGGTTTGAAATTATTTATATTTAATAAATATACCTTTTCTCAATAAATTAAAAGTATTTTTATTTATGTGCATTGTTACTATGTTATGCTAATAGGTATTTATAGCTTAATATATCATTTTCTCAGGTCTCTCTCAAGGTACAGTCTACATTATTTAACATTATTTTTACACTTACAGAATTGTTTCTTTTCAACAGTATCAACATGCAACTTGAAACATGTTCAGTGTTGTTCTTTTCAAAAACTTTTATGTTTACAGCTGCAAATTTATGTTTTTCATTAAACCCAATGACAAATCGTGAAGCAGGTGGAAAGCTAGTTTCCATAAAATAATTTGATTTGCATGTATATATATATATATATAAGTTTAAAACCTTTTTTAAGTAATTTCATTCTAGTTTAATATTACCCACAACAGAATGGCTCTTATAAAGCACATTCTAACAGACCTGAGGATAACCACTGGAACCATGATAAAAATTGTGGGGTTGAGCCTGTTGTTCTAAAGGTTTACCTTAGTACAATTACAATTTAATAAACTATGTTATTTGAAATGATAAACTGTATTCTACAGTATTCAGTCTTTGAATAATATATCACTTAAGACTGTAATTTACACAAATAATGTCATTTATGGCAACATTTATAAGTACCACAACTTCTTTTCTAACCGAACGAAACTTTTTAAAACCTTTATTATTCAACATAATCTATAGAAAAATGTCCAAAGTAAGGATCTACCTGTACAACTGAATTACATCTAAGTAATAACATTCATTTTCATGTCAGATAATAAATTATTTATAAAATATCAAAAATACAATAATCATATTTATCATGTAATTCACCTGTCTGAGAAAAATATTACTTTGATCCTTAAAATCAAATTTTTATTAATAAATAAAATGCTACCATACCAAAATGGTACTTTGAAGAATATACCTCCATCACAAATCTGAGTTTTTATATGAATAACTTCTAGTTATACCTATTTGTTAAGTTGCTGTTGCTATTGCTTTCTTGCTCGGCATCAACAGAAGATTTTGTATTCTTGTTGATGTCTAAAGGTATGCGTAAAGACACCATTCTGTTGGCATAATGAATGGCCTGACTATAAACGGTTGACTCTTCATTAGATACCATTTCTTCTTGTTGTTCCTTTGTTATATTGGTCCTCAGTCTCATCTTCATCAAATTTAATAAAATGTTTAAGTTAGTTTTTGTTTTAATAGAGACAGTATAAAATACATTAAATATATTTGTAATAGATACATGAACCTCTGTCTATACATTATCACTTACATAGGTAATGGCTCTTAAAATTATAGTAAGTAAAAGCTGGACTTTATATTACTGCAGTCAACAGATTTTTCTAAAGCTGTACCACAAAGGGTAAATGAAGGTTTGATCCCCCAGAGATTCTTTAAAACTGATTCAGGTAAAGATTTCTACACCTATCTTGTATATACAAACTATATTGCTGCAAGCACTGTTAGCAATGAATACAAACAAAAAATAAAAATATTTAATGTAATAGAAAATATCTTTGAATGAGAAATATTTACATTTTATGAATTAAATACTAATTAGAAAATGAAAATGCTACAAAAAAAATACAATTAAATACTGGTAGTGACTGAAAACTAATTAACTTGAAATCAGGATCTAAAACTGACTATGTTTGTGGTATACTGCTATGTATATATAGATAAAATGAATACAGACTGGAGTATTACAAAATTCACATTCACTCATTCACAAACTTTATAAAACTTTAAATCTGAAAAGAATAAAATTACAATAATTTTACATTTTAACTTTCCGTAAACCAAGATCAGATTTAAATTCAACTATAGTACATTTTGAAGAATATCATATTTTATAATTCAAAATCTTAAACTTTTTATACCATCATATCAATGTGTATTAAAAATGATAAAACACATTTAATAATTCAAGTTTGACATAACTGTGTAAAAATTTAATAAAATTAACAAACTGTACCTCAATGTTTTAGAATCTACACATGTTTAGAAAGAAAAAAAACTGTTTGTTTAAATCATATCATCTTTGTAATAGAGAACTAATTAGAAATTTGCTGTAAGGCCAAAGTTTTATTTCTGTGAAGTTGCTTACAAACCTGTTCTGCAGCTATTTCTAAAGCACTGGGTTCTGGAGGTCTGAAAGAAGTTGACTTTCTGCTGATCATATCATATACCAATCGTCCCACATCTCGATTCCACACAGAATTAAAGTCCTTGTTCTGTAGTTTAAAAAAATTAAAGTATAAGGCTTTAGACAATTTATAAATTAGTTATTTACACATATTACAGTTACACGTAAATTTGCTTTTGTTAATAACACCTTTTTCTGTACTTAAAAATAATAGCAACAGGTTTTTTGAAGCATCTTCACCTTTAACAAAAAAAAAATCAGTCTTCAGGAATTTTGCTAAAAAAATCCTCAACTAACCACAACAGAAATGTCAAAAACACATCAAAGCTAAGAAAACAATTAAGTGAACTGCTAAACTTGTATTTTAACACCTGCAGTTTTAATAGATTTATCATTTTATTTACATTTAAATTTGGTTTATTAAAATGTGAAAGTTTCAAAAATAGTTTTTATTCCATCTCACAAACATGATGCACAAAAAAAAGACTGCAAAAAATTTAATTTTCTTAATATTCTCATTAACAAAGTGATAAAAACTTGATTTAAGTTTGGTTTTAAAGCTCAATAAACAGTTATTTCTCATTTCAGATTGCTTAAATTGGCATAAAATGCTGCTTCCAGTAATATTTTTTAACATCAGCAAATACTGATTATTGAACATATCAAATCCAACAGATTCAATGATTGTCTACCTCTCCACTTTAACAGGATAAAGAAGTGCATTCATAGCTGTTTTCGAAAAAGAACTGAACTTACTTCATAAGGCCCAAACTGAGAGAATGACTTCTCTTTTTGAGAATAAGTATTATTTTTCTGAGGCAGATACAAAGCCTTAATGTCCCGTTGGACATCCTGATAAAAGGCTGCCTCCCAGAATTGTTGGTTGGCCCAGACTGGGTGGTCTTGGATACATGTAAATGCAAACTGAATCACTCCAGTGCACAATTTCTAAAACATGAGAAGCAAAATACAATTCCATGAACACACGAAGAAAAAACATTTTTAAATAAATTAAAGAAATTACCACAACTGAAAAAAAAGGAGAAGAAAATTACATATAAGAGACCTTAAAGTAAACTGGCAAACAAACTATCATCATAATTATCGAAAGTTAGATAAGAGATGCAGTTTTAATTACACCTTTACTACTAGGGTGGGATCTACCCAACCCATAAACAATTTTATTTAATGTCACAAGGTGAGAACCAAGGCAATAAACAAGAGTTATGGTTTGTTTAATGTTACATTAAAACCAAAACTCTGTGTAAGCTTCTATAATGTCTTTTCACCAATGCTGCATGTGTGAAGGTATGACCTTGGATTAAAAGCCTATGGTGGTCATGTTTAATACATTTCAAGTAAACACAAGTGTCTTTACAAACTGGAAAGGAAATCAAATGCACTTAAATGTACCTCATATACTTAGATTCATAACAATGATTCAAATGCTGTTTATCAACTAGTGGAACATCATTCGCTGTACTGCACAAGTACAATATTTGTTTGTTTTGTTGGAAAAAAGTACAAGCTTACAATTCTAAACTTTTGTAATACTTGACAGCTTATAAAATAATATAAAGAATAAACATATTTAACAGAAATACAAAGATAAACGTACTCTACAAAATGCCATGCAAAGTGGAAGAATTGATGCTGCAACTCCATGTTCATCCATACTTGAATCATCCTATTGTGGAAAAGAAGAAATTACAAAGCTTTAGAAATAAAGTTACATGTACCTATGGATTTTAACATTTCAGTTTGAATATATATTAGAACAAAGTTTATTATTTTAAAGAAAAACTTCAACCCTTAATAAGCTATAAGAACTGTATAATAGTTACAAAGGTAAATAAAAATCAGGTCTTACCTGAAGAGCACAGTTCAAGAGACGTACAACTAGGTCAAACTGTTGATGTTCTAACATGGCTTTGTTGCCTGTTACATGCTGTGCTAGTTCCTGAGTCAAAGCTAAACGAGCAGTTTTGTTTTTAAGAGCCCTTAATACAGCAGGAAATGTCTAAAAAGAAAATAGGAATAGATCATTTTCAAAAACTTAGATGGAAATTCTAGCTTGTATATAATAAGTGAACTACGAATAAGTACAACAATGAATCTTTTTAAGATACATGTAAAAAAACATTTAGCTAACACAGGAATAACCTTTTTTTTTTTCATAAAATGATAAAATTTTAAAGGGATAAAAAGGAGCTTATTAGCCCATCAAGAATGTTCCTTCCAGCTCCCAACTATAATCAACCCTTACTGCTCTTGTATTCACAATCTTTTGTTAAACTTTTCTGCCTACACCACCCTTGAAAACAGCTCATTCCAAAAGCCAACCACCCTGTTTGAAAAGAAATACTATCTAAACTGCAGATGACTCCTACTCTGCCAAAATGTGAATTTATGACCCCTTGTGCTATTGTTTTCACTGCTAAGCACAAAAACGTTTGATGGATCTATATTATCAATATCCTAAATAACCATAAACACCTTAATCAAATTCCCTATGACCATTCTCCTCTCCAGAGGAAACAAGTTAAGAGATTTTGGTCTCTCCTCATAGGAAAATCCCACCATACCAGGTATCATCCTAGTGGATCTTCCCTAAAACCATCTCCAACAATTAATGTCCTTCAATAAGGGAGCCCAAAAATATACACAGTATTCTAAATGAGGCCTTACAAGTGATCTATACATTAAAACAATAATATCCTTTGTCTTGTATTTAATGTTTCTATAGATGCCACTGAAAATCCTATTAGCCCTATTGCGAGCTACAATACACTGTTTAGATGACTTAAGTGATTTTTCAATCGCAACACCAAGATCTTTTTCTTCAACCACAGTATTTAATGTATTCTCATATAAATTGCAACAATAATTTGAACTGTGAAAACCTACATGCATCATTTTGGATAGTTAAACATCATTGGCCATGTATTGGCCCAATGCATCAAATGATCTAAATCTCCTTGTAAGTCTGCAACGTCTTTGATACAGTTAGCCACCCCACAAATCTTAATGTCATCTGCAAACTTCAAAATTTTGTTGGTCACTCCAGAGTCAATATCATTAATATAAATCACAAAACAGCAGAGGATCCAGCACAGCTTGTAACTGGGATCCAGTCAGATCTAACTCCATTTATTTACTACTCTCTGCTTTATACTCTCCATCCAATTTAATAACATTTTCCACACACTCACAGATTTGATTTTTGTAACAAGTCTTTTGTGAGGCACCTTATAAAATGCTTTCTGAAAATCAAGGTAAACCAAATCCACAGTATTTCCTTCATCAACTGTTGCAGTAACATCCTCAAAGAATGTCAGAAGATTTGTTAAACAAGACTTTTCCTTAATGGAACTATGCTGGCTCTTTGACACTATATTAAATTGCTTTAAATGACTCTGGAATGCATCTTTAATCACACTCTCCTAAACCTTTTCAACTACTGATGTAAGATTAACTGACCTATAATTGCCTGGACAATGTTTATCACCCCTTTAAATATTGCACTAACATTAGCCAACGACCAATCTTTTAATACTCTTCCACTACTCAATTACCTATAAAAAATATTAGCTAGCAATTAATAAATAAAATCTTTAACTCCATTTAAAACTCTAGATTGGTCTGTTCCAGGAGATTTATCAATTTTTAGGTTTCCCAACTTTTTTCTTACAATTTCAGAACTTAAAATGATATCTTTTACATCAATAATTTCCCCATAGATTAAGTGCTGCAGTTGAGGCATGATACTTCTATCTTCCTTCATAAAAAATGAAGAGAACATATAATTTAATAAGTTTACCTTCTCATAATCTTCCAAGATCAGCTCCCCTCTATCATTTTTAAGAGGCCCAATCCCCCATCCTAGCATTTTGCTTACCCACCATATATCTAAAAAATTTCTTATTTAATTCTCTCACTGGGATTGAGCAGAAAAGGAACTGCAAGATAAATGGTCACAAAACATAGCAATAATTAGAAAAGTTGATCCTCCCAAAAACTTTTGTTGGTTTTGATTTTGTTTTGTTCATAATTATTGGCAGATGTACCCTTGCATTGCATAATGAGAGGTTTATGAAAATGGCAGAGGCAATATAAAGATTGAAAGTACATAATAAAGTTATTCATGTCCACTGGACTTAATTATTTAAATAACATTTTATTTTTTATTTTATTTTTTTAAATCAAAATCAATCAGTAACATTTCACTCAATACAAGTGTGGCTGTCTTAAAAGTATGTATAGAAAATCTGGGGAAAATAAATCCCTCAAACGATTGATGGGACTTGAAAATGAAGTTCAGCTGCAGAATTAATGTTTTACCAGTTATGAATGTAAATAGTGTTTCTGTTTGTGTCCTAAATATGCCAGTAATGATTGAAAGTACACAGACTGTATATATATATATATATATATACCCCATGTAATGAAAGAAGAAGCTGGATAAATCCCATCAGTACTCCTAGTAGCCACCACCACTGACTGGTCAATATTTAGCCAGAACTGGAGCTATAAAATTTATGCATTTTAAAAGAAAAATAACTTCCTCTTGACACATCCCAAATCATTCCTAGTTGATTACACCATATCTGACGGGTTCAAATGCAAAAGCCTCGGAGGAGATAGAGGACAAACAAAGAAACATCTCTCAAATTATAGTAGGATCCTATTAGATTGAAATACTGTTTATTAATCTCTAACAATTTGCACTTTTAAAAATTTAATACAATATTTTAACTTCACCTCAATAATTTTTAGATTTCATGTTTTGTCATTTTTATAACATTTAGTCAGCATAATTAGGAAAGAAAATGAAAAATATTAACAAATTTCATTTCTGCTCATCTGCAAAGAGTCTCACTTGTAAACAATGCACTATATCAGTTCTTTTAGCATTTTTCTGCCCATCCCAATGGACAGGTTTATGTTTGCTGAAAATCTATCATCCATTGAGAATATAATTAATCTCTTTCTCATATGACTTTCCTTCTCTCTTTGTGATTTTATTATTATAGCCTTTGATAACCACCCTTTTACTAATGAGAAACAGCTTTTAAAATAGTACAGGCAATGTTTAAATAAAACTGACGAGAGCATATTATACATTATTTTTGTCAATGTAGAGTGAATAATGTGGTAAGAACAGTAATTCATGGTTTTAGGAAAAAGTGACTAGACATAGCTCCTGCAGAAACGAACAAAAGAATCTAACTGGAAGTTTAGAAAACTGAGAACAAACCACAGACCTGGGTATGTTTTTGTATTAAATCTGTTTGAAAGCTAAAGAAATTTTCTTCAATGACAAAACATCGATTAAGCTTAGTTAGTTTAGCAAGTATGGTAGGCAACTGCAAAATATTCCAATAACTGAAATCCATATTTATTAAATATTGTTTTTAAGTTTGTCATATTCAAACAATGTACAAATAGAATAACATATTACTTATTGAAAAAAATTGCAATTGCAAGATATAAAATGACCCCAATGAAGAATATATCTAGCAAAAATATTGTTACCTAGCCCGACAAAGGTAATGATGATTTCATTTTGGAAGGTCCTATGGTACCATTAAATCATTGTCAGTTTTTGAAATGTTTTTCATTATTTATATCCAGAAGAGATGACTATAGCAATCAACAATATAAATTATCAAAAGAAATATGTTACTGAACATCAATCAAGCTGAAAATTCACTAGATATATAAAATGGAACGTTTTGATCAACAATAAAAAATATTGAAATTCTAAGATGAAAGAAGTATTTTTAATGTTTTTCCAAAACAGTTTCTCAAAACAAACTTTTAGAATTCCACAATCATAAAAATGATAAAAACTGTGAATTTGTTTAAGCCAAAACTAGATATTATAGTTAGTTTGTATTAAGTTTCGTACAATTCGATTACGTATTGCCACTGTGAGAAAGAATATCAGTGACATACACCCTCTGGACAGGAAAGGTTTATTCTTGCATTAGTACAGAGATGAAACAAAATGTATTTTTTTTTCTTTGAACCTAAGGGAATGCAGCAGAAATAAGCTGTTCAGCTTTGAAATACAATAGCAGGCTATTATGTGTTAGATATAAATTATTACATAACAATCATTATTTGCATAATAAGGTCCATAAGAAACTACCATTCCACTGTCCATAATATCTACATGGACTTAAGAACAAATATTAATTGCAAGTTACCAAACTAGCTTTTAAAGTTTAGCAGTTTTGAAGATCTGCTTTATTCCTTTAAGTTATCTTCATATCACATCATGTTTGAACTTTCTTTACACTAGATGCTTTTACTCTTTAACTGATAGAACACTTACTTTTCTAGCATCTGAAATCTTGTTTTCAAAAATACAGTTGACACAGTTACGCAAAACTTCTAAACGTCGTGCACTGTTTGTTACAACAGGATTTCCATCATGTAGTGAGGAAAGTAAACTGCCCATTGGCACAATTCTTGGTTGTTGAGGGCGAATTGCTTGTAGCCTTCATACAAGAGAAAAGGGCAAATATCTGTGTATAGTTATTTTTATGTATCACACAACACTACCTGAACTTTTCTAATTTTATTGTATCAAGATTTTTTTTTAAAAACATAATCCATTTTGAAAAATTCCAAAAGATGTGTTGCATGAAAGCAAACTGTATCTTTTAAAAAGAAATCAATGTCAAAAACTGTACAATTGTAGGTATGTTTTATATTGTGTTAATTATTACCCTTTTTATATTACTAGAGTACTTTCCTATAAAAATTACTGGAAAAAATTTTAATTATGTGAAGTTTATATTTTCTTTTAAAGATACTTATATATGGGTACAGGTTATACAAGTATTCAAATATATAAGGCCATCTATAAAATGTTATGCCATACTTAGCTGTAACATCAATTTATGTATTTCACAATGTAAAGTAGTACTAAACAAAACACTTACCTTGCTCTTAGAGTATGCTTAGAAAGGCCATCTTGCATAATATCCTCTACAATTTTATGATCTAACAAAGGAAATGTCGGTTGATGAATCCTTCGGAAAGCCCCCTCTGTTGGTTTTGGAATTTTTTGAACATATGGCTGAGGATTGGGATTTTCCTGCATAAAAGGAAAAATAAATTTTCTTAAAAATATGATATACTTTTGGAACTTGAAGAACAAAAATATTAAAATAAAATAAAGGCAGAAATATAATCCCCTCACTTCTCAGACCTGTCATTAAATTCAACATTAATCAAGTGGAAAGAAAGTTTTTCAAACCAACTAGCTTCATAAATATATATATATATATATATATAAATATTAGAGCTCAATTGGGAGTCTTAATCATAATTTTGATTATTAGGTAGTTGGAAGAATCAAACATATTAATTGATTATTTTTGTGGCATTATTTAATTTAATTGTAATTTTTCAATAAACCAACTATTTTATTGACACTAATCAATGTAACTAATGCTCATAAGTATGTGGTTATAATGATTACTCAAGTTAATCACCCAGCTCTAATTGATATCACATTACAAAAAATAGGAAAACAAATCTCTGCTTACGCTACTTATTGATTAGTATCTACTAAATATACACAAGAGGAAATGTCTCATGCTGAAATTAACTTGGTAAAGAGAACAAGCAAAAATAGAACTATGTCGACCACACACCAAGGAATAGTAACATGTTGTTTCTTTACTACTTGAATATCAACTTGAAGTTAGTCAAACACTGTCTTCTAAGTTATAAAAACAAAACAGAGCCAGTACCACGTCATTCCTTTACAACCTGCTTATCAAATTATGCTGAATTTACCCAGATACTATCTACAAGATCAAACACTCTTGAAACAGTATTCTGTCACTTCCTTACAGCATATGCATGTCAGGTTACACTAAAATGAGCTACACACTACTATCTGAGCTCAAACCTCATGAACAGAGTAACATGTTACTCCTTTACAACATATTTACAGATAATGATGAATTTATCCAAACTGTGCCTTCTGAATCAAACAACCTACAAGCAGTATCCCATTATTTCTTCATATAATACATGTCAGATCACAATCAAGTTAAACAAAAAATGGTTTCTGTCTTCTGAATTCAAAAATTTTAGAGCCAATCATATGCCATTTCTCTAACACATTTGTATAACATCATAATAAATTAGCAAAACCCTATATTCTCAATTCAAATGACCTGGAGACAGTACCATGACATTCCTCTGAAACATATATATAAGATCATACTAAAATTATTAAAACCTTATCTTCTAGATTCAAACAACCTGGATACAGTTCCCATGTTATTCCTTTACAGTCTAGTGATTGGATCATGGTGAAGTTAGACAGACAATGCCTTTTATATTAAAATAAAAAAAAATAAACAGAAAAAACATATGGGATGGAAAGAGATAAAAAAATACATGTATAGGCTATCCTTTTCATATAAATATTTATCATTACAATGTTTTATAAAAATCAATAATCATATAAAGTTGAACATCACAACTTACATTTTGTAAAAGCTGTTGAGCAACATCTTGAATATGTGTAATTACTAAGTCTGAGTTCTTGGCTTCTGATTTAAGCACATCCTGCATACCTGCATATAACTTCAACAAGAAATATCATTTACAATTATCAAAATTTCAGAGTTTAAATACAAAACTTCAAAATAAATGTATAGTAATATCAATAAACTTATTACATTAATCAAGTAAAATTTGTACACTATCACAAAATTATCAAGCTTGTGACTTGCAAAAAATACTTCCCATGCAGAGTTTTATGATAATTCTCAGGTGCTACTTTACTAGTCACAAACAATCTAACAAATAATTTGATACTAAAATATTCTAAAACAAGAGGCATTTTCTAGGTGGTACACAACTATATATCAATACAATATCATCTAGTTAATCAGATAAAAAAATTTTCCTTACATAAACTCTAGGAATATAATGTCCTAAAAATCTTCTGTCAGTTCCAAAATAGAATACTAAGTAGTTTCTCAAGGAATTTTACAATAATAACAGATAATGCAAAATTGTGATGTAACACAATGGATACAAGGACCTTATTTAAAGTATCTTATATTATTAAAGGATGTCATTATTTTTTTTGCTCCTGTACTTTAATGTGTTATCTCCTAATGCATGTTTTAAATTAGTTCTAAATATAAGTACTTTCAGGTAAAGGTGATTTTCCAACTAATAATTTGAATATTTACGAGATATTTATTTGAACCCACAAATGCTGAAAGGGCAAGCATATTTGGTAGGATGTGGGTTCAAACCCGTGACCTGTAGATTGCGAGTTAAGCAATCAACAAACTAACAACTTGGCCATCCTGTAAAAGAATCCACAGTTTTCTTCTCCTTTTATATATTTTCAGAATTTTTTTCAAATACAAATATGTAGTAACATTTTGTTAGTTGTTTTTTTTTCAATAAATTGTTTCCTTTTTTCTTTGCATGTCTATAAATCAAACAAAACAAATCTACTTGGAAAGCATTGTTAATGGACTGCATCTGTCTAGGATGTTTTCGATTACATTTTGCTCAAACATCATCAAAAACTTTCTAGACAGACTCAGTACATTAACAATGCTTTTCAAGTATATGCTCCTCTGATTAAACCTTTATTCAAACAAGAACAAAGCAAGTCCTTTTAGATGTCAAACAAATTATTTAATTTCTTTAAATCTAACTCTGGAATTTTCTGCTTTCAAATATCATGTTCATTTCATAAATGTTTCCTCCAACATATTTTCAAAGTAAATGGCTAAAAAGGATGTTATAATTTTATTATACCCTAGAATTTCCCAATATTTACTAAACTGCAGCCAAATTAGTAGTGGAAATGCTTGTCTATGTATAAATTACAACATTATAATGTTAAAAACCCTATTAATATTACTCCTTTTTAAAGGTACTTTTTTTCCACAAGTTTGTTTACAAGCTAATTCTGTCATTTTGGATCTAAAGTCTGGTAATCACTAAGCTAAATGTCTAAACGTAGTTAAATATAACTAAAGGAATTAATAAAAAAATACAAAACAAGTTTAAGAAGACAAAATTTAAAACTTACAGCAATTTGAAACCTAATACTTTTATACTCAATAAGCCCAAACTTGGACTTAGAAATTGCTTAGATTGAATGTTTTTCTTTAATATGCCTTTTATTCTTATTCAAAATATGTTGTCATTATTAATTACAAGCTATTGCCTGCAAAAGAATTCCAAGAATATTTCAGTGGTATGAATTTTGTATCTTTTTTTTTTTTTTTTTTCAGAACCATAAAAATCAGCCTGATCAGTCAGCTCATTACACTTAACATTAAAAAAGTAAAATTATTTTAATTAATTTTAAATGTTATTATTTAGTATTTTTAGTAAGTAGCAAGAGGACCAACAAATTACTTTTTGATTGTGAAAGTACTATAAAAAATTCACATTCAACCTAGGTAGATATTAAGATATACATTGAGGACAATTATTAAACATTTTCTGCTAGAGACTATTTCATTCATTTACATATTCTTTGACAAATAATTAACTTACCTCATCAAAAATATCACAAACACGGTATGGAGGGCCTCGTTCAGAAACAAAAGTATTGAAGAACATACAGTCTAACACTTTTGTCACAAAGTCATTATCCAGAAAATTTCTCTGTCCTAAAAATGCCGCCTATAAAATAAGAATGGCAAATAACAACCACCATACAGTGATGGAAAGAGACAAGTTTAAAGATATTTCAACTTTTACACAAACAATTTACAATGTTAATATTCAGTATATTCTTGTACATACTAGAATATCAAAAAAACTGTAAATACAACATTTAGATACATTTTCTCACCTTGTGAAATGCAATAATTGGCTTTGGATGGATCCTCGTTATTGTGAGACAAGAGCGATAGCCTTGCAAGAGCTGTGTAAACATTCTGAGGAAAATTGCACGAATTTCTTTATCCTAGAAAACATAAGTTGTATACTGATTTCTGAAGGTTCATGATTGTGCATTATTAGTTTAAACGAGGTATACGAAAAGTTAATCAACTGTTAAAAAACATGATAAACAATACATATAGACATATTTTACTTTTTTTTCTCACCTTCTTCCTTCCTATACAGCAAACTAAAAAATAAAACAAGACAAAATTAATTAAAGTATTATTTTTATTTTATCTACTATTTCATTAGATTCTATAAGTGAAGACAGCACTTTAACCCATTAACTGCGGATGACGGATATTTCCGTCATTGAAGTTCTATGGCTCAGCTGTGAATGTCACTTCTGGTGCCATAAGAACAGCTGTTACAGCATTCAGTTGTTCAGGGTACCCTTTAATTATAGCTACTATTCCATTTAGTTTTTACATTGATTATAAAACAATTTTCAGGAATTTCCAACAGTTTTTGATTTCATTTGAGCATGTGGGCAGCATTAGTACCCTTGTAAATATATGCAACAATTTTATGCATCTTGCCTATTAGTCTAAACATCTGGTTAATTTCAAGTCCTCTCTGAACAGAGCTAAATTCAATGTATGAGCAAAGCAGCCTACGTGTAGGTGAAGCCCAAATTTTTTACAACTCCAGTAATATCACTTGCATTCTCAGTTACCATAGCTACACATCCATTAAGGTTCCATTAATCTACAACATTAGAAAGCATTTGACCAACATTAACTTCATATGTAGGATGTGTCTGTAGAATAGGGTTCGCTATTTTCTAGTCATCTTTTATACAGAGAGCTGCTATTGTGATGTAACTTTCCACTGCTCTTAAAGACCATCCATCATTAGTTATAGCCACGCTGAAGCCATATTTAATTCCTCCAGTACATTTGATTTGGTATCAGCATACATGATTGATATCAATGTTTTATTGAAATGTGTTCTAGATGGAATGTTGTACCTTGCTTCCAGCACATTGATCATCTTTGCAAAGCTAAGAATTTCAACGACAGAACAAAGCCTCAGACCCTTTACAGTAAAATTTCCAATACTTTTTGTGATTCGCTGCACTCTGGAAGAGTTAAAACTAAGTTTGGTTTGAAAGCACCATATAAATCAGTTTGAATTGCTTATCTTTTTCTTGTCATAAAAACTTTTAATATTTCACATACAGAAGAATCTTTTATTTCATTTTCATCCTTCATATTTATCTCAAGGTGTTTCCTACGAATATGTGTATGCATGTTTGATGTGCTACCAGTATAACACATGTGAGATTATGTTAGCGCAAAGGTCAGTTTTACTTACACATAAGTTGTAATATATGTAAAAATTAATATAAGTTGTGCTTCTTACAATTTAGAACAGAATCCTTTTTTAATTATAGTTTAAATCTCAAAGGATGTGTGTTATGGACCAACTGTGTCCATACTGTTAAGCCCATAAAATTGTTGCCTTTTTTTTGTTGGGAATTAGTTAGTTTCACAAGGTATTATATGCATACATAGAAGTAAAAATGGACAAGTATGAATAACTTGCATAACAACAACAAAAAACGTATTACATCAATTCACTTGTAAGGTATTTGTTAAGCATTTATGTAAAATAGTGTTTTCTAAAACCAATTCTGGTCTACTGATAAAAAGTTTTCAGTTGCTAAACTACTATTCACAAGAAAATCCTCATCAAAGCTATCTCTACTGACACTACAGTAATAAACATAATTTTGTATTGTGTAATAATAACAATTCAAAAAGGCTAAACTGAGCTAGTGGTGAGTGAACTTCTTTTTCGCATGGATTATTCATCATACATTAACTCTCTCGCTTGAACTCGGTCAATTTGACTGAGTTTGTGACCCCAAGTTGACCTCTAAAGTTCCCATATGATAAATTATAATATGCTTTGTGTATTTTCATGAAATCTCACAATCTTTCTGTAAAGATTACAAGTCTTTTGTAGATAAAAAATCAGAATTTTTAATGAATATATTGAGTCAAAGTATTGACAGTTCTGAGTGCAAAGTAATTTTCATCCTATGATTAAAAATACTTTTCTTTATGTGAAAATTGTCAAATTTCATTTGTGTAATCTCTATAACCTACTAAATAAATATGAAACGTTTTTTTTAAGTAAAACTTTATATTTTGTTAGTTTCTTTACCCTAACTTTGTATGCATTCAGTCAATTTGATCAACCTCATAACCATCATAAAAAATATGAAATAAATCTAAATTACTCTTTTTTTATATTTTAGAATGAAGGCAAATTGTAACAGGAAATCACAGCTGTTTATCCTAAATAGCTTAAAGCTCATAACAGTATATATCTGTATTAAGTAAAATTTTATTGTTTTACGCCCTTTGAACCATGTCTAAATAATATGCCCACCACACACTTGGCAAATGTGTACCTCAAGTTACCATATCAACTGTAAACAAATAAGATTGAAGGCTATAAAAACATGCTTTGCCTGAGTAATATCTATATTATAATAAATAATTTGCCTTAATTTCTGTACTTCTAGGCAGGATGGGTGGGTAAATGAATTAGAGAAGAGGGAAGAACTAGAGAGTAAATGTCACAATTGTCATACTAAGGGAGACTGAGGATTTTTTAAAATATTTTCTTATGAAATTAAGAACTTAAAACTTGTCTAATATTAACATTTGGTTTATTAACTATATTTTAATGACAAGTTTACTCATATACAATGATAATGAAGAAGTTTAATTTAATTTTTAATGTAGCTCTCTAAAAAAGTCATGACATATGCACTTTGACCTACCCATAACAAGATGGTTAACATAAATGTAAACTCAACGTAAATCAACCACCTTTTCTTCTACACAGAAAAATATAAATATTGAAATATTTTTTCTATTTTGTATTTTGCAAAAAGCTACTCAAAAGCTATCTGCACCAGTTGTCCCTAATTTTGAAGTGATAGACTATAGAGAAGACAGATAATCAACACCACCCACTGCCATCACATTGTAATGCTCCCATGGCAGAAAGGCAGTGCATGTTCGAGGATAGAATTTGAACCTATGACCCTCAAATTGCTTGAAGTAATAACCTACTGATCAGTGTAAATATTTATGTTTAAACATCCTCAAACTTTTCTGTTCAAAGTGTGTTTGATAATGTTCTGCTTAATACCTAGCTCTAAAAAATAATATGTTCTCAATATTTCTGTTATTCAGATCATGGAGTTGTTATTGCTAATTAACCCTACTGATACAGGTCTACCTTTAGTCACAGGTCAAAGACCATGTCATCATGTTTGTAGATTCACATTCAAAATTTGATAGTACTACTATTTTATGTAGATTATAATTCAAATTTTAGTATTACGCATTAGTTAATTTCTTAATTGAAAAGTAAATATTAAAAACAAAATCTTAAGTATCGATTTTTGTGTGTCACGTGATATGTTGAATGCAATATTAGATCAAATAAGATGTTTGTGATGTCCAAATACAAAGTCTATAGTCTCTTACAAATTAGATACTCAAATTACCAATATTGACAAGCTAGAATCTAAGATAAAAGCCTCCTAACTTTTCTATTTTCTGAAATATTAATACATTTATTCAATCAACCAAGGTGGCCCTACCCACTTCTTCCATTTTTTAAAATACTTGCTTACATACATATATTTCACCCAATGACGTGTGTATAACCAATCAAAAGCTCAGAATGTCCCCATAGTGGCTTTCTCAGCCTCTATGAAGTATTTGTGCAGCAAACTCTTTCTTTTCATGCTAGATTCCAAGCAGTAAAGTAAAACATTAGTGAGGTTAAAAAAATCATATTTTTTAGACCCAAATACAGCTTAGTTACAAGCTTGAGAAACTATACTGGAATTCTGTGGTATTGATATAGTAATTTATGATTTTTTGTTATTTCAAAATGCATATATAAAACCTAAAAAAATTATTTTGTT